GTAAGGCTTGGCTGAAAGAAAAGTGAGGTTCATACAAAATATAGGAAAGGCCAACTAAGTGCAAATATCCAAATTTTCGAAAAAGACAGGCTGTGATGCTCACCGACAACCTGAACACGCGCTGCCAGCCATCCTCATTAAGGGCTATTTTTAGAAAAGCAAAGTGAGCACGTTTGGAGGAACAAAGCACTGACTTCACAGAGCAGAGTGAAGATTGCTGGATGAATATGTAGATGGACATGGAAAGGGATAAAAGGGTGAGCAGTAAACCACTAGCCTGAGAAAGCGGAGACATCAACCTTTTCACTTTCTTTTTCCCTCAGCCCTGCTTCAAAAAATAGCCAGCTTTTTTCTTAATCATCTTTTTCTCCTCATTCTCCTTCCCAAATTTCAAAAGATCCACAACAGAAACATTAATTAGGTGTCTCTTACAGATTTCAGTTAAGAAAATGCCCTTTACACAGCAACATTTTTAAACTAAATACTTGCACTGAAGGATAATATTATCATTTGCATTTTATGCTTCAGAAATATAAGCTACAAGACAACCAAAAAGGCGGTACTCTCAAAGTGGCACAGGGGGTGATCAGTAAAAGCACACAATACGTCATCTCAGGGGCACTTCAGATTCTCATCCATAGGAGCTGGCTGGCAAAAACTAAATACGATCAACGTTACACAGAAGAAATGAATTAACTACAGTAAATCGCTGCCGCAAAGCTAGATTAATTTGCCGATATCAGCTCAAGGTGCTCTTTGGACTCCTCATTTGTGACTCTGATGGAAAGGTCTTCAAATGTATTGGTGCTAGAGAAGTGGTACGCATCTCACCTGTTTCTTTCCATAACAACACAAAGGGGAAATGGAGGGTGCTGGACATACCTGGAATCACAGGATCATTCAGTTGGGAGAGACCGCTGGAGGTCATGTGGTCCAACGCCCCGCTCAAAGCAAGGCTAGTGATGAAGTTAGATGAAGTTCATCAGTATGGTGTCCAAGCAAGTTTTCAGTATTTCCTGGGACAAGGGAATTATCGCTGCTGGACAATCTCTTCCAGCACATGATCGCTCCCATTGCCAGAATACCTTCCATCATATCCAGTGGGAATTTACCTTATGAGCACTGGCAGCTCTAGTCCTTTTAGCTGTGCACCTCTGAAGAGTGCCTGGCTCTATCTTCTGTTTTTGAAGGCATCAGTTAGATCCTGCACCCCTTTCCCACCCCAAGCCTTCTAATTTCCAGGCTGGAGTAACATGGCTCTGGCTGGATTTTGCATTGCTAACTGATACTCTTTGATACAGGTTGTGGTCTTCAGCGTAGACTCATAGGCCGCTTGTCGATGGGGGATGTTTTCACCAGAATGCGGGACTTTATGTAACTTTTTAATGTAGTGTGTCTATTAATTTTGTGGTTGTTAATTTATATAACTTTGATGAAAAGTATTGGAAGGTCTCGAATCAGACAAATCTAGGTTTCACTTCTTTTAGTAATTTATCCCCTTAGCAGAAATCACAGTATTTCAAAACTCTTGTTACATTTTCCTTTTCATGGGTATACAAGAGCACACTGAGTAAACCTGCCATATCCCTGTGCATTTGCATCTGGTTAGTCATCAGGAGAAAGCATCCCCACCTGAGATGGCAATGACAGTTCAGCTGTAGCCGCCTGGAAGAAGGCGGACAGTGGCACAGTTCCCTCCCTCATCCCATGGGAAAGAAGCAGGAGCATCTCTCCGCAAGCTGCTAGCAGAAAGACAGGTCACCAAGTCAAATTGCTGACAGGAGATGCGTTTGGAGGCTCCTGTGCACTGAAGGGAGCAGTGCAGACTGTTTTCCCTTGCACACATTTGTGACTTCTAATATGTCCCAGACCTTAAAACAGGACCATGCAGTTCTGATGATGATCTGGGGGAATTATGCAGCTCAATCCTCACAACTCTAATAGTAAACTTTGGATGATTGTTTCACAAGAGCCACTTGGAGCCCTTCTCTGATCCTCACCATGAAAGAATTAAAAAAAAAAGGCAGCAATGGATCATACATTTAAGTGTCAAAAACATCTCTATGTTTTTCAGAAAGAGGGAAACAAGGATATCAGTAAAATATACTTTTATCTATTGTAGAAAGTGCCAAAATTTAGAGGAATGCACTACAACTGGATAAACAGTAAACTTCAACCTGCATTAAAGTTATGTCTAAGTCCACACTGCATATTACTTTCCTTTAACGAAACTTTTTGATAACCTCGAAATACTCAACTGGTATAATGCAGCTCTCAATATGTTTGGTGTTACATTTAAAAAGATTTCATTTGTTGAAGTTTTCATGGGTTATTAAAATCACTGCTTGGATGTGGTACAGATTGTATTAAAGGACAATATTCAAACTAAACATACAGCTTTTTAACAGATGTTTAATTACAGCAGCTTCTCAGACTCCAAAATCATTTGTGGATCTCTTGTTATTTCAGATGAAACTACTTACATACAAATGTGGGCTGCTTTGGCCTGTTATCTTTTCACTATTGTGGGGCAAGACGACATTTTCAGCCAAAAAGAGTCAGTTCCTCATTGCTGGTTCTGAGACAAGCTGACCAAAAAACTCTAAACGAATAACAGATAAAACCCCCTTGAATTGTTATTCTTTTTCTAAATTCTTTAAAGAAAATGCCACCCATTCAAAGTGTAACCTCAGAACTCACCTCTTGCCTGCAGTCAGTTTTTTCACCCTTTGCATTCTCCAACACGTTGTCTAAGTCTGATTTACTCTCTTATAAATACCCAAGAGTGCAGTTATTTATTGTGCAACTGCTGCTTTACTCACACTCTGAACTATCTACGTACTGGAAAGCTGCAGCTTTGAGCGGAGGTGGAAGTTTTGGTTAAGAAAAGCAAACCCAGTTGCTACTACTAAAGCCCTATGGACTACAATACAGTTTTATTATGTTATTAGAAATCTGAAAGTGGATTTGGCACTTTTTGACGTTATCTTAGGCTTAACAGTGTCTCGCCACCATCTCTTCTCCATCTTCCCGAGCTAGGAGGAAGCTGGAGCTGGTTTTTGGTCATATCAAGGTGGCTCATGAAACCCAAGCGGTCTATGCCGAATGCTTCTCTCGCCCTTGGTGAGATCCATCCCTTTGTAAGGGACAACCGTGCTGGACTCAGTGGGACTTCAAGAAGTGCCTTGGGCTTGCGCTGTCCATCTGCAGAGAGATTTACATTTAATTTCCACCATGATACCAGCGCTGCCTTCACTGTGAATGAACTCTGAATGCGTAATTTTACATCATCACCTTGCTTCTTAAAGGCCATTTTCTGAATAAAAGGCTAGTGAAAGGGAAGAAGTGGAAACTAGAGAGGGAGAGAAGATGAAAGGTTTCCAGTAACACACACTAAAGATTTTAAATAAATATTTTAATTCTATTATTGGCATTTACAGGTAGAAAGCATACAGTATGTTACAATTTTATCAAAATGTGAAAAATATGGATGTTACATAAGTAACAAATGTAAAAAAAGTATTTTTCTTACCTTCCCTGAAAGTAAGAAAACTATTCGGCATAGGAAAATATTGATATAAAAACACAGCTTAGGTAAAAAAAAAAAAAAAATTTGAAGTTTTTACACAGTACGATAGGTTCATCAGATCTGCATGAAGATGTAAGGACTTTGTGAGGTTCTACTTTAGCTAAAACTTTAGGGAATCTGGGACAAATGGTAAGCTACATTAATGAATCTACAAGTAGTTTTCCCTCATATCCGCTCCAAAATGCTAGAGTGCAGTAATTTTCTATACAATAAATAATTCTTCAAAGTTTCCACCATAGAAAATCATATAATGCAGAAAATGCCACTCCAACGTCACAAAGGCTAGGCAGTGCTGTAATAATAATTACGATAATACTTATTATAGTGCTTTATAATGTCTAAGCACTTCAGACGAGTTAATTAATTAGCCCTCACCACACCCCCGTGAGGCAGGCGCGGAAAGGTTATTCCTACCTTTCCATAGGGATGGGAAAGTGAAATCTGGGGGAGAAGCATGGGCTGCAGCAGCACAGCTGAGCGGAGGGACCGGGAGATGTGGAAATCAGAGGTTTTTTTTCCCTCCTTGCTCTGGCTGATCGTGCTGCTGCCGTGAGCCAGGCTACCTGGCTGGGCTGAGAAACGCCGACCGCTCCTCTCCCACTGGAAACACTGGGGGCGGGGGGGCAGGGATCGGGGTTAAGCATCCCGAAAATATTTCATAGAGATTCAGAAGCTCTCACACAACTTTGTCAAAAAATCCCCAAACCAAATCAAAACAAAAGATTAAAAAAAAAAATAAAAAATAAAACCCAAACAAATAAACAAGCTGAAAAGAAAAAAAAAAACAAAAAACAACCTCCTAAAGTGCTGACTGGCTTGAGCTGCTTCTAGCACCTCTTGTGTGGAATAAGACTTATAGCACTGCTGCCAGCAATTATTCAAGCCGATTTCATCACATCCATCATGTGAGCAACTGCAGGATATGGTAACTACGTTTTCTGAGAGGCCTTACTACCGTAATTCCTTCATTCACCGTCCTTCTTCCATGTACTTTTTAAGGAAAATTAAATCCTCAATACTCTTGCATGGTAAAACATGTTAGTAGCTGGAGACGATATGCACATCCTTCACAATTAAACAACAACAAAAAATTAGTTCATTTTCAGAACAAAGCATTATTAATTTAAGAATCACAAACCAAACAACGGTAAATAGGAAACCCTTTTCAAAGGCTGCATGCCCAATATCTTGTTTTCAAATACAATGCATGCAGGAGAAATAAATTCATCCAAGCATAATTAAATTAAAAATGTTTTAAGTCTCTTTCAGCAGCATAATGGTTATTATTTTTAAAGTCTCCTCCAACCAAACTGGCCTGGGGTTCAAATGCTGACCTTTGCTTTTCTACAACCATATAATGGTTTGACCGGTCCCCGTGGCTTTGCACCGTGGCAATACCAGGAGATAAAGCCTACACATACTGTTCTGCTTCTCCCTCCTTGGGAACAGGCTTCGTTGTACCACCTTTGCTGTCTTCATTCGCTGCTGCTGCTGCTTTCTCTGGAAGTGATGCCAAATCTTTGAAAACATCCACATAATGCCCAAAGCCCGGGCCCCAGTTCAAGAGGTTGTCCCAGTTGAAGCTTCCTGCTTGCTGCCCCAGCTTCACAGGCAGGGAGCTCTCCCCGGCGCTGGCGGCGGTTGCCTGAGCCCCCACCGGCCCCCCCTCACCTCGGCGGCCAGGGTACCGCCGGGGCTTCAGCCTGGCCCCGTAGTTGTCCTCGTCATCCGCATCGGACTCATTGACCTGGGATAACTTGGGCATCCTGGAGGTGTACGCTATGGGCTTATCCCTGTCATACTCCATCTCTGAGCAGGTGAAGGACTCGTGGGAATCGCTGTCAGAGGAGGACTCGGGCGCGGGAATACCATCGGCCGGGTTCCTCGTCCGGGACAGCGGCCTTCTGCAGTCCTCCTCAGAAGAGGACCGGCCATGGTCTGCGCTGCAGATGCTGGGGTTTCTGGGGCGAGGGGTGTTCAGTCTCTCCACCTCTTCGATGGACAGCCCCACCGGAGGAGCGGTCTCCAGAGGGATCTGCCCGATGGGCTGCTTCAGGCGGCTTCCCGGTCGGGAACCGTGGCTCGCCATGGTCTGTGGACTCTTACTTCTCCTCCCTAGTCGAGTGGCGTAGTTAAAAATACCGGGTTGGCAGACATCATTGTGCATCTCCAGTGGGCTCCCTTCCCTTATGGCAAGGTGCAGCTCCCTCGCCGGACTGTGCCTGTAGAAAGTCGATGATTTGGAGAAGGGTGCAGGACTGTGCCGAGACAGGGGGTTGGGAGTAGGGCACGCCGAGTGGCTTAAAGATGTTGTCCTCAAGCCCTGCCCGTAGGCAGGCTGGTAGGTCAGGCTGCTGGCTCCCAGGGGCATGGGGGACTGCCGTGCGAAGCCCAGCGGGCTATGCCTCTGGATGGAGAACTTGGGCGTGTGGCTCCGAAACTGCTTGTAGTGCTGGATGATGTCAGCGTCCGAGGGGGCGATGCTGCTGGCGTTGTCGATGTCGTAGTGCTCGATCTCGGGCTCGGGGGAAGCCAGCGGGGCGCTGGGGATCGTCTCCGTGGTGTGCGGGATGTCGGTTTCATCATAGATGAGATACGGGTTTTCTCTTTCAATGATATCGGGTTTTGGGTTCCCTTCGGGCTGCTTCCTGACTGTCATGTCATCACCATAGGGCGGGATGTTGTCAGGGTCATCAAACGCCACGTTCTCGCTCCCTTTTTTCTTCTTCTCCTTCGTTTTCTTCTCCTCTTTTGGAGCTTTCGATTTCTTTCCTCGGCACTGGTTGCAGAGGATGAGGCTGAGGACCAGGAGCGCCAGGACCGTCGCGCAGCTGCCCACGATAGCCGGCACGGCCCAGAGGGGCAGGGACAGCTCAGCAGTG